ATTCCGTGTAATTCCGTAATTAGAAGTAGTCCACGCAATTCCGGAATTGGTGGGAATCGGTAGGAATTCCCCGGAATTCCGTCCAATCCCACTGAATTCCGTCTTGATGCAATTCCCGGAATTCCGTAACGGAATTAGATCGTATCCAAACGGGATAACTAATCAACACAACACAACAAATGTGGGTGAGGTGGATGGTGTGATTCCGGTACGGAATTCCGGAATCGGACCCAATTCCCGCAGTTCCGGAATCGTTAGGAATTCCGTGCAATTCCGGAATCGGTCGAACTCGATCAATCTCGACTGGGTGTCTTATGTTGTGTGTCGATCGAGTTCCCGGAATTGGACGGAATCGATTCCGGTGCGGAACTGGTTCCTCCAATGTTTAACATCGCGGAATAGGATGCATTCTCTATTATTTGAAATAGACAATCATATGATAACATTCAACATAACGTTATGCCATTGTACAAATAGAGAAAGAATAAAGGAAATAATGACAATATTGAAAACAAACATAGTAACTGGAGGGTATAGATGTGAAAAAAGAAAATAATCATACTCTCACCCTCACCCACACCCTCACACCCGCACTTCCTGGTGTCTATTCATGAGTTTTCATTTATTTAATAAATGCTGCAATCTGATTGGATAGAACAGACAAAATTTTTGCTTTTCAGGCCCATGATTTTAACGCCGTATAACCCCTTCTTTCAGAAGAGGGAATAATAATTTTCTTTTCTTCAATTGATATATTTTATCAAAGTAAATTGAATACAAAATAAAAAGAGAACATATAATATATTAATTTATTCATTGATAATTATGAAATAGAGACAATCGTTGCTGTTTCTGTTGGATTTCTAATTGTTTGCTGATTTGATGAACAAGGTTTTATACATAACTAAACACAAAACAAAAAAGATACAGAATAAAGTGAATTGAAATTAAATAATTATTTACTATTGTTTCATTTTCATTAAAATATTCAATACTCCATTCCGAATGTTGATATATTGTTTGAGAATTTATTTGTTCGTTTGTAAATTTTTTTACAGCTAATTGAAGATTTTTACGTGTAATGTCAATTTTAGAACGAAAACAGCATGCCATAGACAGTATTATACAAAATCTAAATGAAAAATTAAAATTATGATTAGACCTTTGATTAAACTTAGAGAATTCTCTTCCATTTCAATGCTTTTTTAACATTTAAATACTTTTGAGGATAAATGGGCTTAAGTAATAAAGTATGAGGATGATAGATTTTTATTTTCAACAATTTTTCTGTAGATAGACGAACAGATTTGACTTTTATCAATCAATCAATAAATTAGTTTTTAAATGAAATAATATTCTCTTTTATAATTAATTTTGATATTTTTGAATGATTCGAAATTTTATTAAATTAAACTTACGGTATAATTGTAGATATATATAATGAACTCATGAGATTAGTTCCAAAATGATCGATCTTTATCCTAAGAATAATAGTTAATAGAATTAGAAATAACAAGATAATCATAGTAAGGAGTATTATTTTAAGAATTTTTAAAAATTTTTTATATAAATTTATTTTTCTTATTTGATTATTTATTATTGATAATAAATCGGAATAAAGTTTATATGTTATATAAGTATTTAATAATTGTGAATAAATTGAATTAATATTAAATAAATTATTATAATCATGACCTTTTTAATAGAAAATTATTTTATATTTAATAAAAAAGATAAATAAAACTAACTTGCAATTGAACCTGGAATAAATTGAAGTTTAAATTGTCTATTATCTATATATTGACATGATTTTATATTCCACGTTCCTTCAAATTGATTATTTATTTCATTCCATATTAATCTTATAATTCTAAGCCCTGTTCGTTGATATTTTTGTATTAAAACCATTCGTTCTGTTTTATCTGAATAAGATCCTATTATATCAAATTTTCCAGTATTATCTGATCCTGTTCCTTTTATTATCATATTTGGAAATGAAAATATAAGTGGCAATTGATAAGGTCCATAATAATTTCCATTTTCATAATATTGATATAACCAAATACCTGATGAAACATGATTTCTATTTGATGTTGTTGTTTCTCTAATATTTTCATTAAGAAATTTAAATTCTTCACTGAATTTATTGAACACATTGTAATCTTTTCCAGATTTGCTACGAAAACGTCGAAAGGTAAAAGTATCAAGTATGTTAAATTATGAAAAATAAAATTTCGGGATAAGGTAATTAAAAACATGGCATCATCTTACATTCATTCCTCAGTTACATCTACACTCTTTCTCTCATCCTCATCTTTCCCTCACTCTCACCTTCATCCGTAGTATAACCAATCATGGATAGTGGTCAAGAACTACATCTTAGCATTTTCGACATTCTTTCTTTCGACACTTTTCGTTTTCGATATATTTTTCGACTTTTTTTCTTTCGACATTTAGCATACATACCCTATTCTACTACAACAACTTTTAATACAGTGTGAGAGTACCACTATGATTAAACATATACCGAAACATCCGACAAAAATTGCACCGAAAGTTAAGTAAATATAATCAAAGACAGTTAATACAGCATCTGATGAAGAATCTCGGCTATTCGTTCGATAATGCCCACCCCCAACGCCAATACTACCTTTTAATACGAAAATATTTAGTGAAAAACAAAATAAATAAATTTACTTCCACGAAATCTACTACCACGTCCACCTTTACAATCAGCAAAAATATCAAAGTAAATAATAAATAATAAAATATAATAAATGAATTTCATTTCACTAAAATAAATAAATAAATAAATATTATTTTAATAATATATTTTGTAAATGATCAATATGATTTCTTTTATTATGAAGTAAGATGTTCTTATATGTTATATATCTAACTAAGAAAATAAAAAATTCATTATCATCATCATTGATCTAATCAGAAATATGTCATATAGATATATAGATGAAGAACATATTGACATATAAAAGAAGAAAAATATACTGATAAATACTATAGATGTGTCAATAATTAATCAATAGATCTTATCCTTTGAATATTTATTCATATGTTTAAATAGCATGATGTATGTACAAAAACATAAGAGAATTATTGTGAGTTAATGATCATCATTAAGATTATTCCTGACGTCATTCGGTTTTGAGTAAATGTCATGACACCGCTGAAATTTTCTTACTATTCTTCATATATGTATTCTACTATCGTTTCTTCTCTTCTTTCTCTCTTATTGATCTATTCTATGTTTATCTAACGGGTGGACCAGAAATAAAAGTACTTTTTTTATTTTGTCAACTGTGCAGCCAATTCTGATCTGATTGCCTTAAATTTTTTTCAAAAGATTCGCCATGAAATGCTCTACAAAATCATATATCTTTTATTTTGTTCCGATTATCCAATACCATTGTAGATTACGAAAAGTAAAGACCTTCAAAAGCTACTACTTTCAAATACATATAAAAAACACTAATAGTGCATTGAATTTTTTCCATCTTTATCGGAAAAAGATCACTGACCACCAAATTCGCCTGATCTCAATCCTTTTGACTATAATTTAGGACGAATTTGTACAACAAATCGGTTGAAACCGTGTCCAGTCAAAAAAGATGGAAAAAATTCAAATATTTCATAGAAAATTTCATTAGGAAGCTCTTCGAATGTAGTCATTACCAAATTAAAATATTTTCTAATTGATTCAATTTCTCTGAATAATAGAAAAAAAATCTTTTTTTCTATATGATAAAAGATAAACATCGTATACATACATGTATGCGAAAATTTACTTTTTGAAAATGCAACAGAACTTTGTTCCATTGATTTAAATTAGAATCCTATTGGATTAATTGATTCACATAGCTATTATAATATTTATTCTCTTCGTTAGAAATAACAATAGAGAAATATGTGGTATTTACATGAAGAAGAAGCATTCACACCCACACCTTTAACAGTTATTTTCTAAGATTGATCTAATTAACAGAGCGAAAAAGGTCATTGCGATAGATCAAGCTAAAGAATTGACGCACAATTCATGTATGAATTATGTTTTGTGTTTTATCGATATCAAAGCACAGCAAGAAAGAAAAAGACAATAACATACAAATAAGTTACTGATAAAGTCATCATAATAACAAATAATATTATGATATATACTCGCGCGTTTCTTGATCATTATCTCCTTATTTATGGAAGTAGCATTGTGTTTAGGGGTAGGACAGTTCATAGTTCCAAGTTCGGATGAACTGGTCAAAAGAACTACCAGTTCAGTTCTATTCAAAAGAACTGTTAATACAGTTCCTAAGAACGGAACTAATATGGAACTGTCCTACCCCTAATTGCGTTTTAAAATTTATTTCTGTATTTTGTGGATATAAATGGCTAATACATCCAATCGTGAGCCAATCATTATCCCAAAAACATGTGTTCATTTTGATAGGACCTATCCTGATAGTTTAAATGGTATTATTAATGAAAATGAATATCAACAATCCATTTCCAATATTAATCTAGCAGTCGGCAACCCAGCTCTCTCTATTCTCGTATTGTGTGTTTCTGTAATCATTGGAATTTTCTGTCTGCGGCACTTACCAGAGCTTTTCTCGAATTTCAACAATAAAGAAAAGCTTTCAGGATACAAAGTTATTATTCTCTTAATAATCTGCAGTCTACCATATCATACATTAAACTGCATCCAGAAAGCAAAACTCAAGAAGGTCATTAAGGAAGAATCAGAAAAATATGCGACACGATTACCAATAAGCTGTACGTGGCGATTGGAGGAATTTTCTAGTGGTCGGTCGCACCAAGAAATGGTACGTCATATTATCTTTAGAAATAAATCTCACTGCTGTTAAATATGACAAATCGTTTTTATAGTTTTAGTTTACAAATTAGAAATATTCAGATTTTCCAAGAGAAATCAGCTTTTTATAATTGCAAGAGTTAGTGTTTCTGAAATAAGTTGGTTTAAGTTTATCACCTAATACATTTAATCATTGATATAAAATATTTTCAATTTTATCTATATTTATTGATTCTTTTTTCTTTTATTAGATAGTTATTGATATTCATAACAATATATTGTTTGAATAAATAAGAAAAATAAATTATTTAAAATCATAATGGATGAATTTCTTACACTGATTTTCATTTGTTATTATTATTTTGTTTTTAATTTAATCAATGAGAGAACACATCTAATAATTTTCCTTTTGAATTTGAATTTTTTGCTAGATAAAACAGAACTAAAAGGATGTTTTTGTGCAACTTCCTATGTTGAAAGATAGGCATTTGTGAGGGGAGGGGTGAGGGTGTGGATGAGACTAAAAATCATGTCATGTATATATGAACTTTGAATACATCCCATTTCATATCTATTCAATCTCGTCCATCCACGTTCTTGCTTATTAGCTTCGAAGAAAATAATTTTTATAACATTTAATAATTAAGAAACTTTAGTAATTAGTCATATTTTCTACTCTAATCAGATCCCAATGAATATGTAGTTAGATAGATATATTGTTTATTTTGCTAAATAAAATAAATAATGAGTTAGAATGTTATCTTATTATTAATCTATTTAGTTAACAAGGTTTATTGATATTTTCAAGTCTTTTCTTCTGCATCTCTGCTGTTTTGATCTATTCGTTTATTTAAACGTCGTTTATACATTTCTACTTTGCTTAAACCTTCTTTTAATATTTGAATATGTATATCTTTTAATAATATTTGACGACGATTCATTTCCAAAACGTTAGATTTCAGTTCTTCAACTACATATTTGAACTTTAATAATCTATCAATTACATTATTAATATTCATAATTGCATGTTTAATTATTCTGGAAATTGATCGAATACTTCCAAATTTCGTTGATATTTATTTTTATTAACATTTTCTTCACGAATTGTCATTCGACAAATTTTTTCTACAGATAAATCATGTTCATCTTCATCAAAGTTTTTAGTATCTGTTTGTTGAGACTCAGCTACAGTACTATTTAATACACTAATTTTTTCCATAAGATTTTCTAAAAATATATGTGAAAATGTTGAAACATATTTTTGTTCAGTTAAAAGTCTTTCTAAATGGGAATGCAGCGTACCCAACATTCTATATACATCTTCTGCATTGTTCGTAATACGATCGACTTCCACTTTAGTGTGTTGCAGCACTTCTTCAAACTTTGATTCAGTTTCATTTTTATCGTCCGCTTTCACTTTTTTATTTGTCAACAATCTCAGCAGATGAGATGAAAAAATCTCCAATTTTGATAGTGCACGAACGAATGATGCTAGAATTTTATGTGTTATATTTGTTGTTAAATTAACAGAATCTTTTATGTCAGTAATATGACGTATAAATCGATTTTTTTCTTGTTGATCCATTCGACTATACAATACACTTGTTCTTAAATCAATTAATGATTTTTCAACTTGTGTTAAGTCATTAGGTATACTAACATCAGTTTCTGAAAGTCGTTTAGCTAATTGGACTGTTTTGTCAACGAATGAATCAATTGGTAGTGTTGCTGCCATTGAATTATGATCGTTGATTGTTGAGTATTCTGCACAGTATAGTGAGTTGCCTAATAAAGAACTAATGATTGATTGACAGATCGTCATGATCATAAACATTTTCTTAAAATAGTCCCATTTAAAAAAGATTATTTCTAATAGTACTAATACTAAGAGTAAACTCAATACTATAATAAATCGTTTATCACTGAGAAATCGAACAGCATTTTGACAGCTCAATAATTTGAATTTATGTAAATAATTTTTGAACCAATTTAATATATGACACTCCTCATTTGTAGTATTTTGTTCTTTGAAAAAAAAACAAGAAAAGAATTTTTTCAAATAATAAAACAAAGTGTTATCTGATTGCGGTTCTTGATCATCTTGTACTTCGGCGTGTTCAGATCTGCTCTGATGTAAGGGCATTTTTATATAATTTTTATAATCGACTAAACAATTGTCAACGAGGAGGAAAATTAAAGTATTATACAATCACAATCACCAGTTGTATTTAAAATTCAGTAGTCTTTATATAGGTAGTAGTGACTACAGAGTTGGATTTTACCCGTAGTATGACAAAATGAAGTTGGAATAGTCTTGCAATAGAGAAAAATTTCGAAAAAAATGGAGAAAAGATAAGAAAGCAAGAAAAAAATAACCATCGACAGTCAGTAATATGTTTAAAGTGTTTTATGAATCATTAAACAAATAAAGTTTTAAATATCGTTGTTATGTTCAAAACGAATAATTTCATCTGTTTCGAAGAAGAAATTAGTTTGTTAGATAAATTCATTAGATAGTAAATTATTAATATCATCTGAAATAAGTTAAATGCGTTTATTATTCGTAGAATTTATTTGAAAGTAAAAATCACCTTGTACATTCAATCATGGATATAAAATATCTTCATTTTTATCTCTATTTATTGAAATCTATGAATTCTTTTTTTCTTTTATTAGATAGTTATTGATATTAATCAACTAACGAATTCAAATTCTTCTCATGTGGTATTGAATTTATCATCACAAGATATTGTTTAAATAAATAAGAAAAATAAATTATTTAAAATCATAATGGACGAATTTCTTACACTGATTTTCACCCTCACCCTATTTTGTTCTTGATTTAGGCAATTAATAGACACATATAACAATTTGTTATTCATTGAATAAAAAGAAATTCTGGTTTATTTCTATCAATTGAACTGATTAAATAATTGATGTTTGTAAATGAAACTGAGAAAATATCAAGTAAACGGTACAATTAAAATATTTAACAGAAAAGACATAAGATTCGATTAAATCGATATGAAGATAATAGATAAAATCAGTTAGAAAAATCATTGTTTGGTGAATGATATTATTTGTGACACCTGTAATAGGATTCTCTGCAAGTTTATATATCTATGGACAGTCTGTGAATAAAGATATAGACACTTAAATGGCAAAGAACACATCCTCGAACAAAAATATATATCTAATATATAAATTTGAAAATTCTCATTTCTTGTGGGTGTGGGTGCGATCAAAGAGTTTGCTACACCTACACCCCACACCCACACCCGCAACTACAATCATTGGAAGAAAGTATCGGACGAAAACGCAAACGTAACATGATTTATCTTCGTTAAAACCATATTTATTCTGCTAAGTTGATACTATGATGATGGGAATTATTGTATTTACCAGTTATAATCCATTTTTTTCTGAATTAAAAGAATACAATAAATCACTTATTGAACTTTAATCGATCATCTAATTATGTTTAAATATAATGCACGAAGAATATTGTATTGATTTCAAAATACTTTATTAGTTTCCTGATCACTGTTATAAAAAAAATTCAAAAGACATTTTCTAAATTTTTGTTTTACAGGCGATATCATAATGATTAGAATTCTAAAAATCGAGTTTAAAGTATGATCATTCGATAATTTATAGAATGTACGAAATGAAAAGATAATAATTTATCAATGAAGCCTTCAATATTTTTTTAATTCAAATGCCAAACATAGTCAGAGCTTCAATCCTTAATCAAATAGTGAACAATATTTTGATTATTTGGTGGGAACGCTTCTCTGAGGGTAAACATGAATGTGATTCTTTTCTTATACGTATTTGATGCTTTTTCGACACACTGCAAATATAGTAAAGCAGAAATATGATTCACGTTATCTTTGCCATGTGTTGAAATTAAAGAATAGAGAAAAAATAAATATATTGACCCGGTTGCTTTCTCTTACTTATGTAACATATCATTTTTAACGAAAGATATGATGCACTTTTTGTTGATAGAAGAACGGAAATTATTTTTTTCTTATCCATTGATGAATTTCATCATTGATATAAAATTCCATTGTGACATCATTTTTTCGTTTCATAACAACTGAGACAAATTGTGTCATTTGGTTTTGACCATTACTACAATCAGTAACGATTGAAACGACAGTTATAATGGTAAATACATTCTCTATATTCACTAAAAATGACCCTTTTCAATATCTATTATATTTATTGTTATTTACATAGAGTTTCAACGCTGACGAAAGTTATACCGACATTTTTGATGATGACAACAGCTTTATGAAACAACCTCCGCGTAAGTTATTTTTCATTTGACACTACCGAAAAGAACGACTTATTCAATAATCTATTGTTTACAGTTCCTGACTATTGCCAAGATGAAGTTCAAGGTATTGAATGTATTTCTGCATGTTTTATGAAGCGTTACCATGCTTGTCCAATGTTTTATCGGGGTTCTCTTCACAACGCTTGTCAAGAAGCATTTAAATCGACAACCATTGAAGAAGTTCGCTGACCTTTGCTTGATTAGCATACAGAACATAAGAGACTATTTCTTTTTAGAATCGTCCAGTACTTGTCTATATACATCATGATCAAAGCACTTATAGGCATGTGTTTTGTTTTAACATCTTATGTTCAGAGACTTTGATCGATTATTTACTTAACAATTATATTGTCTGGCCATGGGATGTGACTTATGAGTCAAATAGATACAAGTAAGTCAGTTTTTTTATTGTGTCACAATAAACACGAAAATAATTGTATTGAGATGAAATTTTTAATATTTTTTGCTCGAAAGATTGAAACAAATCTGGAAAAAATTGTTTCCTACTAAACCTTTGGAAAATCATTCTCTGGAACAATATCCATTGCTTATTGGTATAATGCAACAATCTTCGTCTGAATACAAATGCAAACCACTACTCATATGTGACAGATTAACACACACTCAAAAAACAGTAACTCGTATGACATTACTGCAAGAATTAGAAGTCTTTAACAAAGAGTGTCATGGTCAAGAAGAACCCTTGGTAAATCAAAAAGCAATAAGTCGTGCAACATCAACGCAAGGACTAGAAGTCTTAAACAAAGAGTGTCATGGTCAAGAAGAACCCTTGGTAAATCAAAAAGCAATAAGTCGTGCAACATCAACGCAAGGACTAGAAACCTTTATCAAAGAATATTATGATCACAAAGAACATTTGGTAAATTTTTTTTCTTATTGTATCTATAATTGATTTTATTTTAGTCATTAGACTGTGGTGCTCGTCGTAGTCGTTTTTGTGTGCTTCTGTGAATCAATCAAAAGTTCATAATCCATCTTTTATCAACCTTTTGTATGGTGAACACTTACTTATAGTTTTTTCTTCTATGTTGTAAAAACTTCGAAGTATCTTGTGAACGAATCCATGAAAAATAAAATTTATTTCGTTTTACTTTTCTCTATAAGTTCTAAGAATTTTAAGTCTCTATAGTTTCATTTTAAGATAAACTTTAAAATCTTGAAAAACTTCTAAAAATTGCGTTCAAAATAGCTTCTGATAACATGATGTTTGACATTCTTAGACAGATCTTGAGAAACTGTCGATAATGCGATGTAGTTTATGAAATTTAAAAAATAATATTTGGAAACTGGCATATTTTGTCTATGTGAAGTGAGCCTCATGTTTTTGACTAGCATGTTTGCTTCATTTCATATGACCTCTCTGTTCAAGAATCTTGTTTGCAATAGTTCAATACCTTTCATTAAATGGCATATTAAATATATTTTCGAACAATATTCCTTTATTATTATGTGTACATTAAACAAAATTATATGTTTCTCAAACGAATACAGCCTTTCTCGATATGGTTCTTCAGAAAACCCATTCTAAACGGATTGTTTTTTTACGTCTCAATACTATTTCACTATTTCCAGAGAAATCTTCATATTTGTTAAATGACTTTAACAACCTTATCTTCAAAGGGATGAATTATATTTTCTGAATACTCTATTACAGTTGATTAGTACCATGTTCAATATTCAACATATTCGCCGTATTACCGATAAACTAGAGGTCTGCGGGACAGTCCCGAATCCCGAAAAGTCCCGTAAAATCCTGTCCCGCGGGACATTCGGGATTGTCCCGTAAATTTTTATGGCGGTACAAACGCGATTCGGGATGATTCAAAAATTTTTCGGGACGGGACAATATAAAAAAAACTATAGTCTCGATTTTTTGCGTCTATGTGAAAATGTGTCGGACAATTTAGTTCCTTTATTTTCAATAAATATGCTAATATTTTTACAAATAATAGAAAAAGCTATTTAATGCAACGTTAATTTATGTACGAATGGTGTAAACCCATCTGTTTTTTCTCACTAACAATATAAAAAGCAAGTATTATCTTCTTTGACAGACTGATATTTTTCAATTTTTTTTCGATTATGATAATTAAATATGAATTGCGGGACAAACGGGATTTTACGGGACAGTTTCAAAATTTTTCGGGACGGGGCTAACGAGATTCGGGGCGAATCTAATTTTCTCGGTACGGGATAATATAAAAGTTTGCCCCACAAACCTCTACGATAAACACAATCTTGATCGAGTTCAAGATTGGAATAAATGGAAAATTTTGAACAATAACTGTAAACAGTTAAAGACGATAACAGTGGAAACATGAAAAATGTATATCATACGGAGAGAAATACATAGAGAAGGCAATGAAAATCTACCTATGTCCACAAAACTATCAAACAATTGTTGATAGATCTTGATTAATTAATCAATTCTTCTAATAATTCTGATTATATAATCTCATTCTCCTCCATTATATGAATAATGTATTTTAATTGTTATTATTGACTAGAAAAAGCAATACAATAGTTTTGTATAATTTTATGAGAAAAAAGCCGAAAGAATGGAGTGAATATTATACACACCCTCTAATATTTATCTGAAGTATTCTCTTTTTTGCCTTTCTGCGCGAGCATGTTACCTTCTCGGACGATAATCGTTTTATGTTGGAAAAAACCATGTGTTGTGTATTACGTAATAAAATGTGTTACTCATCATTCGTATACTTGTAAATACCTTATCTTTTTTCTCAAAATGGAGAATTTCGATGTATTTTTTTTTATGTTAGATAATATAAAAGAATCTTGCAGAAGAAACAAGCAAGCGAAAATCAAGCATAAATCAATGTCGACCAGAATAAGAACTGTTGCTGTTGGAACATCGATACAGAATGTCGGAGAAGCGTTGGAATACATCATATGAACCTGATTCTCAAGGACGAATAAATACAGAGAGTGATACTCGAAAGCAAGCGTTTCACACGGCAAAATATGTCAATGATATACCCCTATCTCAAGCACCTAGTCGTCAATATATGGTGAAGGATAAAAACACTAATGAAAATCTTCGTCAATGGGAATATACAAATACCAAGGGTCAAAAAATTGACATTCGAGAAGATAGATAAAGATCTATGCTAATGGAGGAACACAAAACAAACATTTTAACGCAGGAAAATCCGGTAGCAAACTTAACAAACAACATCACTATTACGACACGAAATAGTAATTTAATAGCTTATAAACTTTTTCTCTAATTTAAATAAACAAGAAAGAATCCTTATGTTATTAGAAGATTTTTCTATGCTCCAGAGCCAATATATAGAACTGGGATATGTTTTTCTCTTCTTGATTTCGTGTTTGGTTTAGCCTGATCGCTTAACATACATGATTGATAAAACTCATATAAACAATTTGAAACAATGACAAAAATATATAAATTTAATATTTGGTAATTTCGTGCAACTGAATATGTTGTATCATTCTTAATTGCTTTCCATTCACTTATACATTCTATTAGTGTGAACATCAATAATGTATATGTTATGGTTCACAAGAGAATAAAGGTAAGATTAGAATACACAATAACAAAATAGAAAAAATACAAATAGTTATCATTTAAATAATGGTTTCATTAAAAAATTAACATAATTATATCATGTTATTTCATATTTATTTTGAACGTTAACATAATTAAATAATCTTGAGGGTAGTTGTGGGTGTAATATCCAAGAATCAACCAACTCAGGCCGTCAAGATATTATCGCTATTTTATTCTTTTCTTTCTTCTCATTGCTAGTATTTATCATAAGACAAGATACAAATACATATATACAGATAATATTTAGTTAGAAAGAAACGAAGAGTGAGAATCTATGATGAAAATGAATTACAGAATAATTCAAAGATATATATTTGAAAAAGAATTTACTGAGCATAATCTGGTTTTAATTATTCATTAACTTTCGTTATTTTACAATTATCAAATCTCATCATACTATTGAAATCAACTTATATAGATTGATTTCCACACTTACAGACAGTATTTTGTACAATATTAAATATATAATATTAGTAAGGTATCGACATCTATTTAAAAAGAGTAAAACAAAATTTTTATTTGCTATTATACGTTAGTAACAGGTAGTTAATGTTAGAGAAATCAATCGAGTGATTTGTTTTCGCATTACGCATTTATATATTTGATACAAACAATGTCGGTTGAAGAGAAAAATATGACACAAGAAATTCAAGATATTACATTTGGAATTGAATCTGCATTAATTAATTGTTACAGTTATTTACAATGGCAATTTTCTGATGGTATACTGAAAGGTTTTAATGGTGATGTTGCAAATGAATACATTTATGAATATCATCCTGACTCAGATAACACACAAGTTATTCGTCTTGTTTTCAAGGAAAAACTTGAATCTAAAAGTGATACATTAGAAAGTATAATAGACAAATTTAATCGTATTGAAGTTGTTCGCTTAGCATTTCCCACTGGAAGCATAGATAATCTTCCTACAGATTGGTTGTTTACTATCGAAACAACTAATGTCATTCGACAACTACCCATGGATATTGTGATTATACCAATTTCATTAGATGAAAATGGTCGTTTACGTATGTCACTACAAATAAATAATATTAATATTTATGGAAAAAACAAATTAACAAACGAACAAATATTATTTGATTCGATTCAAAATGGGAATGCTAAGATCGATTTAGATCTTACAATACAAAACTCCAATTAAATCCTTCTATTTTTTTCTATATTATTAATAAAAGATTTTAAGAATAACTTCAATTAAACATCTTGTTCTATATATTATAATTTTGAAGCAAGATATAGATTCTATACATCTTTCATGCACTCGAGCCACAACTACCCACACCCTCAAATAGCAATTAATCTTCTTCCTCTAGTAAATAAAGTATAGAATATATTTATTTTGAGAAAAATATGAAAAAAAGTTATTGAAGTCATTTAATGCATCGTTTTTTTTCATTGATAATGGATTAAATATTGTGCATATGCTTGTGTATCATGATAAGTAACATAAATATGTTCACCATCAGTAGTTGTATGATAATTTGATGGACAAACTTTCATATTTGTATTACCTAATATTGATTTACCAATAAGAACACGTGCAAAAAACATACATCGTTCTCCACGATTATTTGGCATGCTATATGTATGACTATAATTTGCATTTGATGAGAAATAAACACCACAACCATATTTCGTACCATTTTCTCCACTTAAACTTCGATTGAAATAATCGTTAATAATACTATCTGCAGCTTTAGCAGAGCAACCATGATAAAGAAATTTTTCAGTATTTATATTTAGACGATTTTGAAAATAATCACGATGTATTATATATTGTTTATGCCATCGATCATTTCGAATATGATCTATTCGATTGATTCTTCGATAAATTCCAGACATTGTCTTATTAAATTCTTCAACAATCGTATTCCATTCTTGAGTATTTTTTGCTACGGGATAACGTAATTGATTATAATTGTTGGTATATAACCATGTACTTGGAAACAATTGAATAGCTGGAGTTATTTCTTAGAAGATATAAAGATGAAAAAAAAAGAAATTAGTGAATATGTTATATGCGCATATCTTACTATTAGCATTTTGAAAAGCTTGAAAAATATGTTGAAATTTAGGACAAATTGTAATTGTGATATTCAATGGATATGATTCAATCTTTATATGATTTATCATTGTTCGAGCAATAAAATCTGCATCACAACCATATTGACCACAACCAATTGCAGGAAATGCAACACTTGTGTAATTTTCTGCAAGTACATATTTCATAGCTGTTGATACAAAATTATTAATTGATTGTTCTGTAAAAAGAATCTTTTCATCAGGTTTCCATGGTAGAAAAAGAATTCGTTGATATGGTAAATTTGAACATTCTAAAACAAACATTTCATTAGTAGGCATTGTTCGTTTAGCTTGTGCATATGCTCTTTGAATATGAGGACCAGCTGCTTGAAGAACAGATTCTCTTAATCCATTTGATGTTGAACATACTACAATAACATCAACCTAATAAATGAGAGAAAAATCAAGATATAAACTAAGAATTGTTCGAAAAACATATCAATTTACTCGTTGATTGGTTAAATATCCTTTGTTTACTTTCAAATTTAAACTCGGTCGAGGACATATGTTGTTAATGTCTATTACACATAAACCCAGAGGTATGAAATCATGATCTGAACCTAGTTCACAGATATATCTTGGACAATGACATTCACAACTAAACAAGAAGATAATGATAAGTTAATTTGAATATGAATAAATAAGAAATACTTTACCAAATGTCACCTTCATCATAATCAGGATCACTATTAATACTAGTATCACTATCATTCGCATTACAATAACGAGCAATATGTCCTGGTTTGTGACACTTAAAACAAGTTTTTCCACTCATGATCTAAAAGAAAAAAATAAACATATATCTTGATAGTTAATAACGAATAGTTATATGTACGAAGAGAAAAGAGAAAAGAAAAAAAAACATGAATATATTTTAATCACATGGTTCTAACATAACTTATTTATATAATAGTATAGTATGAGATAAGAAGTAATTCTATTATTCTTTGAAGAAATGCACATGTATTTGAAGTATTTGTAAGAGAATAAATAAAATATGCATTCATTTCTCCTTTAATACGTCACATATACATGGATTTTTCCCTTATTAATATATTACGAATATGTTCACCGTTAACGAACTATCCATCCTATATATACATATTTGTGTCATCCAATAGGAAAAGAAACAGCATCATTTCTTCTATATTTATTTCGTTGATGTGATCGAATGAAAACTACATAAAGGTCAACATATATGTCTTTCAGTTTTGTGGTCGACATGCATGCATCTAATAATAAAGATAAAGATAGATCAAACAGAGTGAAATTTATATCGATGAGTCAAAAACAGTCAGTATAAATTTTCTCATTGTAGCGTTCTTGCTAACATGTGCAATACTCATACGCGTAGTATCATCAGCGCACGCATCTCTTCGATCAAAAATGTTACTTTCTTCGTTTAATATACAAATTATGATCTAATTTACTTATGTAGGACGAAATGTAAAATGTAGCAAAATATGATACTATTTCTATTTTCTCATCTTTTTTTTTGTTTGTTTATTTTATAAAATATCATTAATATATATTATAGTCAACAAATCATAATCTTGAGGGTGAATGATCTCGTAGTATACATCCACACCACCCTCACCTAAAAAATATCATAAAATCTTTGTAAATTCTAAAATTTAAACAATACTAATTTCTGTCATATCCCATGATTATTTTTATTAGCAAGATATTTATTGTGTCTGTATATTTTGAATTGAGTGAAATTTAACATGATGTAGAATACGACAATGCATAAAATATCAAAAAATAGATAAAAAAAACTGTTATAAAAGATGTCATTATTATAGAACGAAAAAATAGGTAAATAAATAAACACAGTAAAAATGATGAGATAAGAATAAAAAACCATGAAGAAGCATTTTACTTATTTCTAAACTATATTAAGATGTTGAAGAATACTATTCTAGATATTATTTTATAAGTTAATACTTTTCTCTAATTCTAAAATGATTATGAAATCTACAGAATTCTATTTTCTTGTTTTATTATTAACAGCATCAGTAACTATAGTCTCAACACTGATGTGCTATGACTGTCCGTTACATCATTATGATTTTTTAATAACACCTGACAATATTCCGAATTTCATGAATTGCACAACAATTGATACAAAACAAAATTTTTGTTCACTTAATTTTTATTCGGATGATAATGGTAAAACAAGTAAACTACGAGCGAATCCAAATAAAGGTGATGAACATGCAAGTGTCTCCTATATTTCTGCTGGATTTGATGTACCAAGAGGTTTTGATAATACAATATCGTTTGGTCTTTTATATCAATGTATGACAGACAATTGTAATAATCCACAAATGATTTTAAAACGAATATTAGAAGCATCAACTATCGAAACATATAAACCTCCTCAATTGTCATCTGCTACTGATCTATCTTCACGAGCAGAACCTCTTACGTGTTTTACATACAACAACTTCACAAATTCAGATGAATGTAAACCATTATTCCATAATCGCCAATCATCAAACGCTGCTGAAGTTTGCTCAACATATTGTGTAACAGAAATTCATATTGATTCAATAGATTTAAAAACTGAAAGAATGTGTTCATATTGTGAACAAGATACTAAAGAACGATTTTCATACATTGATGAAAGAGTCTATTTATTAGATCAACGAATTAGTCGTCTACAACAACTAGAATATATTTGTAATACAAGTCGAGATTGTAATTCATTGGAGAACATACGACAGATTCAACAACGATACAGAATTGAATTTGATTTTGATAAATTTTTCAAGAACAGTGGAACATCAATGCTCATCCTATCTGTTCGGATGCAATACATAGGATATTTTCTATTCATTATCGTAATTTGGTTGAATAATAAATACTGAAGACATAATATAGTCACTATAAATTAACTTGTTTATTGTATATTTGCACTATATAAATCCCTCACCTTATCATCGATTTCATATTTTTTTTTATTGATAGACAGAATTCAAAGCCAAGGAATAGCTAAACACGTTACAAAAGCAAATTTGTGAGGTATAATCTAAGAAGTGAGTGTCATAATGATAAAAATAAGTAAGAGGAAAAGTCAAGTTATTCATTTGAAACAAACATTTGTTCTAGCATCCATCTCGGAATAAATTGTAAACGTTGGATGTCATTTGGATTGGTTATCTCGTATAAAAATAAACCCATATCATTCGATGGTTGATTACGTGGATGACGATAAAGTATATAATTGCGCTTTTCTTGTACACTTGCTTGAAGAAAATGAAGCACTTGATGAAGATGTTGTAAAAGTCTTATTTTATTTTCTTGATCAATCAAATCTTCTGTGTTGTAATTGTTCACACCTGGAAGTCGTATTGGTTCCAGTGATACCAACTGTTATAGTCAGAAAGCCGGAATTCTAATATGAAAATCCTGAAAAATCCGGAAAGGCTTTTAACAGTTACTTTCTACCGGCTAAAATCGATTTCTATAAATCTTGTTCTCAATTATACCCAAGGGGGAACAAACTGATTTCC